AATTAATTAATTATTCTAATCTTTTCTCAATTTAATATCTTCATTATATTTTATATTAAAAAAATAATGTTTGGGGTAAATGTGAATTAGACATTTATATCTATTAATTTAGACTTACTATTGTGAGGTGGGTAATTTCCATTTATTTCCCTTTAATTCATTTACCTGAAATCTGGGGTTATGACCTTGAGATGTCTCTATTACTGTGTCTGTGATCAATGTGTTAAAGTTGATATTTTTTAAATTATCAATGTATATAGATACATTGTACCAATGCATTTGTGTGAATTTGTACATCTCAATGGATTCTCTGTATTCGTAAACTCCATGTATAGTATTAATAGCTTATAAATTTCCTTTTCTTATCCTAAAGGTTGCAAGTTCAGTTAAAATTTGGAGCTTTGTTTAATTGAAATTATTTCACTTTATTATTCATTTTTCTAGGATTAAAGTAATTATAAATATTTTGTATTTCATTAAATACATTGCGGTTTCAGTTTTCCATCCCATTTGTTTACTGTTATCTGTAATTTGAGTAAGCTCAGAGGTTAATTTTTGTAAAGATAAACAGGACAATTTTTTTTTCTCTCTCATAAATAAAGTCTACTCCGATGATTCATCAGTATCAATTTCGGGAGTTAAATTTCACAGTTAAATTTCCCTTATAGTTTAATGTTTATGATTGGACTTGGGATTCCATTTCTTTTCACCCTTAATTAATTCGCTTATTTGTAATTATAGGTTTCTTCTTTGAGATATCTATTTGTAAGTTTGTAGATGATGTAATAATGTATTGTGATAAGTAATGAAAAGATTGTCGCTGATAATTGGTTGACCATCGATATACGCTTACCGATAAGAATCATTGATGAGGAATTTTGTCGCTGAGAAACTGAAATTTAGTGTGCTTTGCATAATGAACATTTCTGTGCGCGTTGTTCCCATTTTCCTAAAATAAAATGGACGTAAACTGTATCTTGAAGGAAGGAAGGTGTTATCATTTTCAATTCGTTGTCGTCTTGTACTTTCCTCGCGGCATCCGCTATAGCCATGCAAAAATAATTTTTGAAAATTCTGCCGATTTGTATAACTGATCAATTTAAGGCTACTTATTATAAGCGATGATCATTTTTGAAAGTTTCCTTATTGTTCAAAACTAGTATTAATGTATTCGTTTGATGTATAATGTTATTATCACTATGTCTATCGGTCTTTAGCCATATCAAACGTTCATTTGATGCATGCCTTTGCTAATGCATATGAACTGTATTTTCATGCTTTAGTGACTTTAGTTATATGACAAACTGAATATTTAGATTTATCCTCAGCTTCTCACAAGCAGTATCTAAACCAAATTTGTACTTGATGCTTCTAGGAATGCTGACTGATGCTGACCTACATTTCTTGCTTCATTGGTTCCGATTATTTTCATTATTAGAGCCAATCTTGTACATTGTCATGTATCTTTGGATACTGACTCGCTTTTTTTTTGGATGTTGCATTTGACCTACACTTTACACTTGTATTGCCTATTTTTGGCACAGTCTCTCATGCTGCCTCTTACAATGTTGCATCTGCTGCATACATTGAATACTGCGTTCAGCCTACATTTTAGGTGTGATCAGGATTGAGATGAGATTTAGATGCTTCCTTTTTGTTCTTATAAAAGTATTTTCTATACAGTATTTGAATTATACCGTATATGTACAGTACTCTACAGTTTTTGGTATATGTCCTTACTGAAAAGTCCATTTTTGTATTTTGCATGTATTCTTATATTGTTTAATGTCTGATTTACATTGTTGACTGTTTTCAATATTGTTTAATGTTTGAATGCCTCATCTGCACACACACAACTGTATGTCTGTCCACCACAACCCTTGCCTCGCCTCACCTCAGCATCTCTGTCCAGACGTTATGATGTAAAGTGAGTGGTTTTGTTTTCAGTATTTAGGGCCCACTATGATAATGATCAGTTGTTTGTCTGTTTGTTTGTCTGATATTATTTACCCAGAATATATTCTCTCCCCTTGGTTCAATCAGGTTTAAACTGCAGTTACCTTGAACCAGTTTTCTAAGTTAAAAGGTCATAGCAAAAACCACATCTGTGTGTGATCCTTACCTGGATCCTATTTCTCTCATTTTAGCCCTTTCTGGCTTGTACTTCACCTATTATAGTACCCAGTGGTAAAAGATGTGCAGTAATGAACAGTTTCTAGGTCAGAGGTCGAGGTCTAATCTTTATTGCAGCAAGCATATTTCTCTCCCCTTTGCAGTGTCCTTGAACCAGTTTTCTTAAAGGTCAGTGGTAAACAGAATTTCTGTTTACATAAAATCTCCCATGGTTTATGGTTGGATATAATTTTTATCCAACAAGTTGTGTGTTTTTATACCAAGCTATGGCTCTATTCAGCTCATATTTAACCCATAGTATCCTGATTTGTTTAAGGGTGTACTTTTGCTTTATACCATTTTTTTGGTCAGATTTCAAGGTCATAGCAGATGTCTGTGTAAAGTTATTGTCATTATTTCCTGTTTCCTTGAGCTTCATCTCATACATCTCCCAAGGTGCCAGTGGATTACAGGTGCAAGTCAAAGGTCAAGGTCCTTTACAATGCCCATTTATCCTTATGTCTTTAGTAAAAGTGAGGCCCTTTGAGATGGTCACCAACTTATTGATGTCTAGTTGTATATACAACATCATGGTGTTGGGGTTCATCTTATACATAAAGAAAATGCAGAAAAACATACCAAAAAAAAAAAAAAAATTACAAAAAAAAAAATACAAAAAAAAATACAAAAAAAAAAAAAAAATACAAAAAAAAAAAAAAAAATACAAAAAAAAAAAAATACAAAAAAAAAAAAAAAAAAAAAAAAATACAAAAAAAAAAAAAAAAAACAAAAAAAAAAAAAACAAAAAAAAAACTTAGATATGCAGTTGAACTTTGTTATCTCGAACATTGATAACACAAAAACCATGGATATGTTGAAGTGATTCGGAAGTCCTAGCCCTTATTCTTTTAGTATTTTTCCCTGGATATTTGGTTTCCTTAGATATCTTGAAATTTTTTCTTGGTCCCTTTAAGTTCGAGATGACAAGGTTTGTCTTTATATGTATAAATATGTATGTGTGGGTTATGTGTATACATATGTCTAGTGTTTGTGTGTATGTTGTCACTGTCACTAATAGCAAAATAACCTACTTAGTAGGTGAAGATTATTATTATTTACGTAGTTTTGCAGTGGCCGAGTTTGGGATGATACCTGGTTAGTAAATTTCATACCTGGCAAAGCGAAGCCTCCCCTGGTATGAAATTTACTCACCAGGTATCATCCCTTACCTGGACACTACAAAACTATGTAACAAATTTACCCCACTGATGACCGATGCCATAATTATATACTGGTGATTTAACACTATTATATGTGGTTTGTAAAATTTTTGTGTGTCTCCGCTATTTTGTTTCAGCACTTCTGTACAGTAACTATTGACATCGCATGCTACCTAATCTTTTCTGTTAGTGTTCCGTGCAGTAATAACATACAGTTTTGAAGAATTGTAGTAAAGCAAGAAAAAGGTTCCATAATTTTTGCTTCTTACTGACGTTATTTAACTTTATTTGTCAACAGACACGCGGCAAGTCTCGTATCATTCGGGTTGTAAGTGTTACAAAAGAACGATTACTCTGTATTGACCGTACATTGATTTTCAAGTGACTGTGTACAAGTATTACATTCCCTTCACCTGACAGACTTCAAACAATCGTTAGCCAAGATTTTGTCGAAAATTCGTTAGAGGTGGGGTAAATAACAGTTGGTAGCTCCTTTTTCTTTTGGGAGCTGCTTGTGTCATATAATTATACCCCCACTCCGAAGGAGAGGGTAATATACTGTTTTACTATTGTGTGTCTGTCTGTCTCTCTGTGTATGTGTCGGTTTTCTAAGCAACTACTCATCGCAGATGCTTGAAATTTTAGCACACTCTTTGTTTAATATGCCATATAGTGGGATTTATTTTTGTACGAATCTGAAGTCAACTTCTTGTGAAACGTTTGTCTGTCCATACCAAATTTCACTGCAATTTTCTCAGCAACTACACATCGCTGATGCTTGAAATTTTAGCACACTCTTTGTTTAGGCATGCCATATGATGGGATTCATTTTTATATGAATCCAGTGTCAACTTCCTGTTTATCTGTGCACCTGTCCATACCAAATTTTGGTCGCTTTTTTCTCAACAACTTATCGCAGATGCTTGAAATTTTAGTACACTCTTTCTTTAGGCATATCATGTGCTGGGATTCATTTTTGTAGAAATTCTATGTCTTTTATCTGAACTTCTGAGAGCATATATTCACACCAGAAGTGAGGATATTACTAGTGAGTATTGGCTCACAGACTTTTTGTTTGTATCTGCTTACTACAGTCAAAGTCGCTCTTAAGCAGCTTCTGTATCAACTGGTATATGATATCGCTGTAAAGTTGGACTAACTTATGAGGCATGGAACTATGAGCATTGACTAAATGTAACCATAGCAGATCTTTAATATTTCACACCAAAAGCTGTCAAGAAACAACATTAACTCCATCTTTGTGGGATTGCCAGCAAACTTCATGCAGAGATTAACTATATGGGTAGTGAAATATGGAGATAATGAACAGTATTCAAGCTTAAAAGTCCATTGAATTGGCACTAATTGGGAGCAGAACAAACAAGGACCTCTAAAAACAGAGTTGGGATCAGGTCCCATGAAGGAGTAAGCATACCCTGTCGACCGGTCGCACCCACCATTTGCTCCTTGTCATGTGCAAACGGAAAAATCCGTATACAATTCATTGTGTAAATAATGGCCTAACAATGAGTACGAAAAAACATCGTTCAGCATTTATTTCATAACAAATTGTATTTACTGACAAGGTCATTGTATCAACCATAGAATTTGCAAAATGCTGACTTTAAATGAGACTTGGTATCCTTGTATCAACTTGTTTGTCAATAGCTTGCCTCATTTTAGAAATTGTTCTTACATAGAGCATGCTGTTGTGTTTCGAATCAACTAGGAGACATAAACCTCATATGCAGGTGTGAAGGCTGTATTATACCTTTGAATAATTCAAAATGGAGTAATGTGGGCATGTTTAACAAACTTTTTGCTAGTATTTTGTCAGGTTATGTGACACTATCCAGTCTTCATCAACTCCACCAAGAAAGATGTTTCATCTCAATGAGTGCCTCACCAGTAATTTGATTGATTTATTGCTACATTTTATGTAAGTAAATGAACTGGTTAACAATTTGCCAGGAGTGTCATTCTTTCTGGCTAAAGTGAATTTTATATTACCAGCTATTAGAATTTTCAGTCAATTATCAAAGTGATTAAAATGACTACATGTCCTGTATACAGAGAGGGAAGCTTCTAGAAAATTATGTATTCAAAAGCATTTTTTAAGTACTTATATTTTTAAAGTGAACATAGAAGGGAAAGAGTAATTAATAGTCTCTAGAATTAAAAAAAATGTGACAAGTATTTCAAAGCAATAATTACGTCATTATAGTGACATAAAGGGTAGGGGCACCAAAGCAAAATACTGATTGATGCAGCTTTCTGGTGTAAAATTGGCAAGGAGCGTGTAAACTAAGTTATTTAAATTAATGCAAGTTTTGAGGACTTTTAAAAATTTTCTGTTGGCCTCCATTCCTATTTTTACAAGCAGAAGGAACATTGGCCTCAATGTAGGGATAAGATAAAATATAGTGCCCTGCTAGATCTCTTTCCTATTTTTCTAGAACACCCTGTGTATTAGAAAACTCTCGGTAATTTAAGCTTTTATTCTTTCTTAGCAAAGAAAGGATTGGCTTGCATTGACCCAACAGTGAAGAGAAATCCCCTAAATCAACTGAGGACAACCTTGAAAGATTCAGTAAGATTCTTGCTTTTATTCTTGCTTGCAGTCCTTATCATGTTAACCTTGTTTTTAAGTGATCTAGACTTGGTCCCACTTTGACCTTCTTATTTTCAATTGACAGGATGTAGACCAGCAGAGCCAAGCAGAAGCAACAGGATATAAAACCATCTAGCAGCAGCCAAGCAGTCTCTAATAGGTATCATCTTGTCATTTTTTTCCATTGTTTTGGTACTGTACTAATCCTGTGTCAGAATCTATCATTACCAAGGGCACAAGGAGGGATGGCCAGATGGCAGGGGAGACCACAATGAAGAGGAGACTATTGCCAAGATACAGGGTATCCACAGTTTATGTCAACAGGCCAAGATTGGCCAAAGTGGTAAGAAACAAGCTATATTTGTTGCATTTTAGAGTTCTGTTGATCCAAATAAGGGACTTATTTGACCCGTTGAATCTCTATGTTAACAGATTAATGATTTGACAAGCCTTGATCCTACAAAGAAGACTCAATTATTTGTCACAATGAGTCCAGGAAGCAAGGATCAACTGCAGCCAACCTTAGAATAAAGAGTAAGATACAAACACTAACTCTTTTTCTTGTAAAGATTCCATTTATTTTTTTCATGTAGGATGTAGATTTGGACCTCTTTTGATAATAAATTTGTATTTTGCAGAAGCATAGAGAAACAGTACCTATCTTAAGATAAAGCAGTGCATCACTTGCCAGCAAGAGCACACAGCTGAAATTGACTGATATGTTAACCCTCAGGTGACTGTAAAACAAAAACTGTACTTCTTTCTCTATTTCAGTTTCATCACTCTTTCTCATCACTTGATTAAAATTAGATTACTTAACGACATTCTACTTTTAACAGGCAGAGGGCAAGGCAACCCTAAATTCTATGTTTAAGAGCAGAGTACTGATTAACAGCAGTCTTCCTTAGAGTGGAGGTAAGACACATTCTCTACTCCATTCAGTCTGATAGATTTCATACTTTCATTTGATGAAGTCTGATAGCTTTGATTTTGTTGACCATTTCATTGTCTTGTGTAAACAGGAAGAAGGTTAGACTTGCCTGTCAGAAAGGCTAGAACTAGAGAACAAGATTAAGGACAGACTGTGGTTTTACCTTCAAGTGAAGGTAAGATGCAAATTCTTTGTTGACTCTTCAAAAGTTTTTCTCTTTACCATTTGATTAAATCTTAGTACTGGTGTTGTCAATGAGCACCTGGCCCCAAGATCATGAAACATCTTAAGCTTAATTAGGTCAAAATCTTTATGTTGTACTAAAATGTTGTAAAAGTCAAGTAGTCCTAAATTCAAATATTTTTCAATATTGATTTACAAAAGTATTGTTATCTGTAAATTTAGGGATAATTCAATCATCAATAAAAATTTCACAGGCAATTGAAAATTTCACGTACGTCTAAATCTGTTTCATGATCCTGGGGAGTGGTGTTCATAACATAAGCTTTAGTGGAAGAACTGGAAAACTATTACCCTTGGCCTTCAGCATCAGTCAACAGTTTTTGAGGTCTTCTCCACTACTTTGGGACAACAGTTTTACAGTTTCCCTCGTAGTCATAGAAATAAGTGTATAATACATCTTACTGTAAAAAAGTATTTAAAAAAAAGAATAAAAAATGTCATGAATAATAATTGGTTTACAATATTTTTTCATTCATAACTGGTACTGATGAATTGTACCATTCACAATGCCAAAAAAGTTAATTTTATTCCAATTTTGAGACTAAATAATTCCATTTCACCTGCCAAGAAACAGACTATGATGATGTAATTATTTTCATATAAAATGTATAAGTTTACATAATGTTGTATGTGTTAATAGTTAATTAGGTTAGAATAAACACAAAATAAATTTCATTTGTTGTGGGTTTAACATTTAATAATACAATGAAACCTTTTATTTTAGAAATTAAATTTATTTGGTAACAGTTATTAAAACATTTTGCAGATGTAATTTTGACAGAATGGAGCCAATGGTACCCAGGAAGCCCGAGAAAAGGTTGTATTTTGATCTTGTAAGCCCAAATAAGGTGAGCTATATTTTTGTTTTTGCATGTATTTTTCATTTCCTGTCCTCTCTCCTCCCCTTTCTTACTTACATTACTAACATAACTAACCTTTTGCCCTTTTCGTTTATAAATGTTTGTGTCTTTCCCAAATATGTAATTGTTGTCACATGTTTTTGTTTGTCAATGATACTTTAAAAGACTGTACTTCTTCAATTGTTTTGGTACTGTAATAATTTTGTGTCAGTTTCTATCATTGTCAAGGGCACAAAGGCGGGATGAACAGATGACAGCCACCAACACACAAGAGGAGACCATTGCCAGGATACAGGGTATCCACTATTATAACAGGCCCACATTGGCAAAAATGGTAAGAAACGGGCAGCATTTGTTGCATTTTAGATTTAGATTTTCTATTTTCACTTTATTCAAGCCTGGTACTTATTTGACTCTTGTCTCTGTATGTTAACAGAATAATAGTTAACCTCAATCCCATTACAAAGAATGACATCATAAGGCTTGTGAGGAGGAGTCCAGGGGGTTGGGATCAATTGAAGTCAACCATCGAATAAAGGGTAAAGTACAAATCACTGATTCCATCTTAACAGTTGTAAACTGAACTCTCTTTGATCTGGAATCTCAGGAACCAACCAAAATACCAAGAGCGTAAATAAACTGCATCCAACCTTTCAGATGACAGCAAGTAAAGACAGATGCAAAACTGTGGGTGACCATACAATGACAAGGAGACCATTACCAGGATACAGGGTATCCACTACGTCAACAAGTCCATTATATAAGCAACAGGCCAACATTGGCCAAAGTGGTAGGAAACAAGATCATTTGTTGCATTTTGTATTTCTCTTTTCTATTTTCACTTTATTCAAGCCTGGTGATGGTTTTAGTACTAGTTTGACCTCTCAACTCTTTATTAACAGAATAATAGTTAGCCTCAATCCCACTACAAAGAATGACAACAGCACTTGTGAAGAGGAGCCCAGGGATTAAAGATCAACTGAATCCCAAACCATCAAAGTCAGGGTAAGAAGAAAATAACACATCTGATTCCAGTTCATGTGCTCATCTTAACTGATGTAGACTAAGCCTCCTTTGATCTGAAATATCAGTATCATACAAAGTAATGTACCAAGAGCTTAAATTAACTACATCCAACCATGCAGTTGACAACAAAGATGGACAGATGCCAAATTGAGGATGATGGCACAATGAAGAAGAGGACCATACAATGAAGATGAGGATCACTTAAGGAAGAGGAGGACCACACAAGGAAGAGGAGGACATCACAATGAAGAGGAGGATATCACAAGAAGGAAGAGGAGGACATCACAAGGAAGAGGAGGACATCACAAGGAAGAGGAGGAACACACATGGAAGAGGAGACCATTGCTAGGATACAGGGTATCCACTACATTGGCCAGATTGGTAGGAAATAAGCTTCATGTGTTGCATTTTTGGATTGCTATGTTTTATTCATAGTAAACCCAATTAGGACACACATTAGACCTCTTGACTCTTTATGTTAACAGATTAATGGTAAAACAAGCTTAGATCTTGTGGCAGAGAACACATATCGCTCTAGGAGGAGTCCAGGGAATGGGAACAGAGATACACTACAATCAGCCATGGAAGAAAGGGTAAGTTACAAATCAAATGTGCTAAATCCATTGCTTGTGCTCTTTCACACATGATTATGATTAGGGTCTCTTTTGATGTAAAATTTCTGTCTTTAAGAAACAGGACAAGGAGACCCTTACACTGTCAAAGGTCAGGAAGATTACATACCTGCTAGCAAGAGTACCAAGAGCTGAACACCAGATGAACACACAGTAAAGAGAAGTACATTGCCAGGGTACATGGTATCCATTATGTCAGCAGCCATTTATTAGTCAAAGTGGTAAGAAACACCATTAGTTGCACCATTAGATTTCTGTTTTCTACGCATATCTACACATATTTGACTCTAAACTCTCAATGTTCACAGAATAATGCTTTGGCAAATCTTGATCACACTGAAGAGAGCAAATCAATCACTTGTTAGGATAAGTCCAGGGAGCAGGAATCAACAGCAGCCAACCATGGAAGAAAGGGTAAGCCAATTATATTATACATGACATTCTTTAATTATGAATTGACAATAAAAACTGGTGAATTCAGAGGTACATCGTCAATTGTTTTGGTACTGGACCTATCTTGTTCATATTCTGTCATTGCTAAGGGCACAGTGGAGGTATGGAGCCAGCACCACATTCAGGAAGAGAAGATCATTGCCAGAATATGGGGTATCCACTATGTAAGCAACAGGCCAATATTGGCCAAAGTGGTAGGAAACAAGAACATTTGTTGCATTTTGTATTACTCTTTCCTATTTTCACTTTATTCAAGCTTTGTGATGGTTTTAGTACTAGTTTGACCTCTTGACTCTTTATGTTAACAGAATAATAGTTAGTCTCAATCCCACTACAAAGAAAGACAACACCACTTGTGAAGAGGAGCCCAGGGATTAAAGATTAACTGAATCCCAAACCATCAAAGTCAGGGTAAGAAGAAAATAACACATGTGATTCCAATTCATGTGCTCATCTTAACTGATGTAGACTAAGCCTCCTTTGATCTGAAATATCAGTATCATATCAGGTAATGTACTTGGAGCTTAAATAAACTGCATCCAACCATGCAGGTGACAACAACAATGGACAGATGCCAAATTGAGGATGGTGGCACAGTGAAGAAGAGGACCATACAATAAAGATGAGGACTACACAAGGAAGAAGAGGACTACACAAGGAAGAAGAGGACCACACAAGGAAGAGGAGGACATCACAAGGAAGAAGAGGACCACACAAGGAAGAGGAGGACATCACAAGGAAGAGGAGGACATCACAAGGAAGAAGAGATCATTGCCAGGATACAGGGTATCCACTACATTGGCCAAATTGGTAGGAAATAAGCTTCATGTGTTGCATTTTTGGATTGCTATGTTTTATTCTTAGTTATTCCAATTAGAACACACATAAGACCTCTTGACTCTTAATGTTAACAGATAAATGGTTAAACAAGCTTCAATCTTGTGGCAGAGAACACATATCTCTCTAGGAGGAGTCCAGGGAATGGGAACAGAGATACACTACAACCAGCCATGGAAGAAAGGGTAAGTTACAAATCAAATGTGCTAAATCCATTGCTTGTGCTCTTTCACACATGATTATGATTGGGGTCTCTTTTGATGTAAAATTTCTGTCTTTAAGAAACAGGACAAGGAGACCCTTACACTGTCAAAGGTCTGGAAGATTACATACCTGCTAGCAAGAGTACCAAGAGCTGAACACCAGATGAACGCACAGTGAAGAGAAGTACATTGCACGGGTACAGGATCTCCATTATGCCAGCAGCCTTATTAGTCAAAGTGGTAAGAAACAAGCTGCATTTGTTGCACTATTAGATTTCTGTTTTCTATTCTCTGCCTAATTAGAACACATATTTGACTCTAAACTCTCAATGTTCACAGAATGATGCTTTGGCAAATGATCACACTGAAGAGAGCAAATCAATCACTTGTTAGGATAAGTCCAGGGAGCAGGAATTAACAGCAGCCAACCATGGAGGAAAGAGTAAGCCAATTATATTATACATGATGTTCTTTAATCATGAGTTGACAATAAAAACTGGTAAATTATGAGGTGCATCTTAAATTGTTTTGGTACTGAACTAATCTTGTTCATATTCTGTCATTGCTAAGGGCTCAGTGGAGGTTTGGAGCCAGCACCACATTCAAGAAGAGAAGAGCATTGCCAGAATATGGGGTATCCACTATGTAAGCAACAGGCCAATATTGGCCAAAGTGGTAGGAAACAAGATCATTTTTTTGCATTTTATAT